TAATACTCCGTTATATCGCATTAAATTGTCATAATGCCGCTAGAGTATAGTCCTGAACAATGAATATGGTTTCTGTGGTATAATTCGCTAGTATGCCAGCTTACACGAAAACCTGCAATATGTCCATTATTAGTAACATTACGTAAACAGTTGCACTGTAGCTGTACATTGCACATATAAATGGGTGTGATGATAATAGGTGATTTTCCGTACAATTGCGAGATCTCGCGAGATGCATGAAAGACGCGCGTCGAACGTCTGCCGCAAAAAATCGAACGATTTGATTTTGAACTAGAATTTCTTTATTTCGCAGCTTACATTGACCGGCCGATCTTCGACAGAGGAATATTGCTTTCGAATACTCTTACTTACTCGAAATTGCCTATCATCAAATGTGGACAGCACATTATTAAGCATGGAAATATCCCCGAAATACTTTCGCGTTTGTCAAATCCCACGCGATGTTTGACGCGATACGACGCTATGACCTTTGTTTGTCCTGTTTTTACGTTCGATTTCACGCATAACGCGTGATTCTCGCAGTGAACGGAAAATGGTCAATTGGCATAACTAATTGTGCCTTTTCTTTTCAAATTTGAATAAGAACAAAATCAAACTAATGTTTCCAAGTCCTTCTTGGAAAATCACTCCACAATATTTAGAATGAGTGGTTGGGTCAAAAGTTTGATGAGTCAGGTGCATCGATTGGCTAAGCTTGTTGTACATAGATGCAAATGAGTATAGGAACCATTAATGCTATATTGAAGATAATATTTGGTAATCGTAGTCCTAAATAACTATTAAAAATAGCTAGACGTTTCGAGCAATGGCTCTTTATCGATAGCATAGAAGCAAGTGTGATAACGTACAGGTAGAACATAGGAACGTAAGAACGCGCATGAACTATAAGTTAGAATCACAAAAAATTCCACAATAGAACAAATAACGCGCCTTAGGTAGTGAGCTCAACAAATGAGTTGAACTGTTTGTTAATACCATGGGGTTTTTTATTTATAAACTACCATTAATGCTGTAGGGTGTACTGGGAGGGGTGGAGGATTTCATGTTTGTAATGACTGGTTGTAATGTGGTATCTCGTTGTTTTCAAGATGCAGCCTGATATTTGTTGCTTTCTTGGTTGTTCAATTGTGGCTAAAATTTGTGTGGTGGGTGGAAGATGTGTTTATTGTTTGTTGAGTCATTGTTTAGACACCCTGCAGCTTGAAATGATATGGTCCAAATCCAAATTCGATATGGTAGTGCTGAATATCTGTGCGATATGGCAGTGTCATCTAAAAACCACGCATCAAAATGATTTCTGTTTATTTATTTACTGTTGTAGATCCTGAGAACTAGCCATTGAATATGATGTCGGGAATAAATGGTTTTCTGAACAAGCTTTATTAATTATTGCTGGCAATATTCCAGTATGAATTGGGAGCAAACTGTGACACCAAATCTAGTCGTTGTATTGTTATGCTTCTAAAATATTTTTTTTTTAAATAAAATAAATTAAATAGAAATATTATGTGTATTTTTGTATGTGGAAACATGGCTTGCCCACTAAAAAATATAAAGAAGTGTGGTCTGCAGTTCTTTTTTTTTTTATTTTTTTTATTTGTGAAAAAGACTGGAGTGTAAACAATAAAACACTCACAGTGCAAGGCTAGTTCACCAACATGTCTATTCTCTTGCTTGAGTGTGAAAGTACATGGTTTAGTGACTACCTCTTATATTTTTAAATTTTAGAATTTTTTTTTATTTGGGAAGGTTCTTCTATAAAAAATATAACAGATATATATATATATATATATATATATATATATATATATATATATATATATATATATATATATATATATATATACGAATAGCGGGTATGGCGAAGATTTGGTCAACCCTGTGTACAGATAATAAGATATTCAAGTTAAATAAATAAAGAATTCCTTGTTCTAGTTGCAATATCATGATTACATACCGACTGTTATATTTACATTACAAAACGCTCGCGTAAACAAACAAAATATAGCGTTTTATAAAAAGTGTAAAAATGAAATTCGTGTTAATGTCGTAGTTTTATTTTTAAAATATTTTTACAGCTATAGAATGTTGACAGCATACTGGTAGGAATGTCTGAGTGCAGTGCCCGTAACCATGAATATATCGTTATTGCTTACACGTTAGCTTTGTCTGGAGTATAATATATTTTGATATTAGATATATTGATGTAGTTGAAAGGCACAGAAAATACGTATATCATATTATTATACGCCTGTCACCGTAACGTTATAAGTTACAGCGTGCCGCAATTTTGCGTAATCCTACCATATAAGGAAATGCGAATTCCCAATATGGAATGATCTCGCGCGTAAGCGTCCTCTAATAATAAAAACAAACATGGCTGCCACCAGGGTTTGATTGGACTTCACACAAAGAAGTTCGCTGATTCTGTTCTAAATTTTTTGGATTTCGGCATTCCCATGATGTAACCTTAGTAGGAAAAGATGTATAATAAATAAATATATGTATAAAGATGTATAATAATAAGGTTATTACGAAGATACCTCAAAGTATGCACTCAGACGGTACGCTGTCGCATCGACCTCCGCTGCGCGTCGGTCGATATTGCCGCTGTATTGTCTTCGTGCATACTTTGAGGTATCTTCGTAATAATCTTATATTATTATACGCCTGTCACCGTAACGTTATAAGTTACAGCGTGCCGTAATTTTGCGTAATCCTACCATATAAGGAAATGCGAATTCCCAATATGGAATGATCACGCGCGTAAGCGTAATCTAATATCAAAAACAAACATGGCTGCCACCAGGATTTGTCCGGTCTCCACAAAAAGAAGTTCGCTGATACCGTTCTAAACTTGTTGGATTTCGGCATTCCCATGATGTATCCTTGAAAGGAAAATATGTATAATAATAAGGTTATTACGAGGATATCTCAAAGTATGCACGAAGACAGTACAGCGGCAGTATCAACCGACGCGCAGCGGAGGTCGATGCGAAGACGCACTGTCTGTATCCTTGTGATAACGTCATAATAATACAAAGCGCGTCAATATATGTTGCACCTCGTGTATACATGTTTATTTCACAATACGTTGAGTGTTATTCTATCGATCATTTTCCGCTGACAGTATGAAATCGAACGTAAAAACAAGGAAAAAACAAAGGTCGTAGTGGCGTAAAAACATCGCGTGGGATTTGTTTTGGTATACCCATGCTTTACATTGATGATGGTCTATTGTGCTTGAGTAAGTGTATTCCAACGTCATAATCACGCTGAATAACGGGATTTTGACATTGAACTACAAAAACAAAAATTCGATTTCAAAATCAAATCATTCGGTTTTCAGTTTGCAGCAGACTTCGGTTCTCACCTTTCAGTACTACGCGAGATGTTGCAATGAACGGAAAATCACCTTTTACAAAACGCATCGACAAAATACTGCAGTACGTACAGAATGAGAACATGCACGGGCGTTCCACGGAGAAGTCTCATTCAGGGACGACGCCAAAAGATCGACGTCAATGTGCTTTAGTTTGGGGGTGGGGGTTGATCTTAAAAAGTTTCCACCCTACAAAAACGATTTTATTTTTTAATGAAGTCTAATAATCTTGGAGTATTTGTAGTTCGTATTTTTTTTCCACTCATGGACAAAAAAACAACAGAAAATGAAAAAAAAACAAAACATACAAGACGAGAAAATGATTTGGTCCGAGTGTAAATATGTGCTTCAAATGAGGTCAATTTCAGGGCATGAACCTAGAGCATGCGCAGAACCCAGAAAAGTAGTTTGCGCATGCGTATATTCCCCTTCATTATTTCCTCTTGAACGACTTTTTTTAAAAAAAAGTTATGCAGATTCAATTTGGATTAGTATTAAAAAATAAGAAAGATAATGGTGACATTTACTACGTGAGATTATGCAGTACAATGTGTAATGACAATTTCATTGTACTACCTACTTTAGTTTGTAAATTAAATGTACTTCTTAAATGAAAGGTACAAATAAAGCTTGTTTTTCTTTGTTATTGGTGCATTTGTAAAGTCTTTTTACACCCACCCAACAACCAACTGCTATGCCATAATACTGTCTGATTATCAATTTGTATTTAATGGTGAATGTAGTCTGAAAAAAACTAAAGGAATTAAGTTTTTTTTATCCTACATCGATCTTTTGACGTCGCCCCTTAACGTCTCTTCTATAGAGAGAATGCGTGGATGAACTCGTTTGTTGTCAGTATTTATTCGAGTATACCTTCGCGCTACAATTCTATTATTATGGACAGTTTGAAAATATTGCTTTAAACCCGCTATCTCATTGGACTAGTTTGACGCAGTCGTTAACTAACGCACGCATAAACTGCTCGTCGCATCTCATCACATCCAAAACTTCAGACGTTTTAGCATGATGAATCTTTGAATCTGATTAAACACTGTGCATTCGTAGTCGTACGTCCACGAAGTTCAACACTGCTGCGACTCGCCTAAACTGGGCATGTGAAGAGGAGTTTGGACGTGGGACGTTCCCAGTCGGGCAGTGTACGACGGGCTTTACATCGTGAATATTGAAAAGTTGCTCATTATAGTATAGAGTCAACCTGCACAATTTCAGTATGCACATTTTGTGAGACTAAACCATTTTCTCGTCTTGGGTGTGTTTTTTTCATTTTCTGTTATTTTTGTCCATGATTGGATAGAAAAAAAAAACGAACCACAAATACTCCAAAATTGTTTTGACTTCATTAAAAAAAATAGTTTTTGTAGGATGGAAACTTTTTGACATCGATTCTTTGACGTCGTCCCTTAGGAGTGCTATACCACACAATTTACTACATTAGAAATAGAAAGGGATTGTAAAAATAGTCGTAAAAAATGACGTGACAAATGATAGCGTGTTGGGCGAGTGGACCCCAGGACGGAAGCGCCTACACTATTTATACCACGCGATAAACTCTAGGTTAGTTTACTCTGGTCTGAGAGCCAAGAAGAAACGTTCGTTGGCAGAAATACAGGTATGAATATTTTTTTTGTTATTTACATTTTCACCCAACAAATCTTTGCTTCTCGGCGTGGTATAATAAATATTACAGGAAAGTTGCACAATATAACACGAAAACGTCACAGCTGTTTTGCTTGTATTCATTGCTATATGTAACAATTCGGAGTACAGATAATGTGTCGTCGTGTTCCATATGGGTCGCATGAGATGTATTCTCGGGGGCGGACATCCGGGCATTTTCTACCGCCTGGCAACCCTTGCGGTGAAAACAAAGACCAAAAACTCGCAGAAAACGGTACTTTGCGATGGTTGTTGAGAGTCCCCTGAACAGTGTAACAAGATTAGCCCTACGTGTGTAAGATTTTTGAATTTGGTTGTTCAGGATTACTTCAAAGTTGAGTTTGTGTTGTTTACTCCAGTTTTCACCGGCTCCACCGGCGTTCCACAGCAGCGCGCACAGAGCCCATAGAAATGCATGGTACAGTGGTGCGCGTCTTAGCAACGTAGAACGTCCGTGACGTAGCTCCGCCCCCGAGGATACACACGTTTGAAACACAATATTTGTTTAAACTGATTCTGGCGTATTACGTTTCTATATACGAGTTTTTTTTAATAACCTTACACTGTTATAGACGACGTGCTTCGTATATACACAAGTAGTTCTTAACACCTTTGCTTATTTATTTTTTTAAATCTAATTCCAGACACATTGTTTCATAGTTTCGAAAAATCGCAATGAAATGTTCTACTAATTGAACGGGTAATGTTTTAAAATGTATTTTCCATAGAGTTCCATGTAATACATAACAAGTAATATCACGTTAGTCATATAAGACCTGTTATGGCAACAAGCAATCTATTCGCAAAATTAAGAAAAAAATCTTCCATTGAATCGTATAGAAGACTCTTAAGCCGGAACCATACGTATCCAGTAATACTCCTTTAAATGGAACGGTACTGACAGAAATACCTAGGCCGGATTGTATTGCACAGAACTTGTACTGCGGGATCAGTGCAAGTAGAAAGTCAGTTTGTTTTTGATTTTGTAGTTTTTGGTGATCAGAAAGAAGAATTAATTAATCTGGTGAAAATCTGATAACATCTGGTAGAAAGTAATTAATATATAGCTTTCTGTGAGTGAGAAGAAAAACAAACATTTTGCAACATTTAATAGTTCCGTGGAGATATCTATGCTCTGTTTCTTCTATTATTACTTAGTAGCGACAGCATCTTGTTTACTATTTTATCTCGTGGGACCCACGTTGAACACGACGCGACTATGACGCTTTGAAATTCAAGACGTTCGTTATACAAGTTAGGCGAAAAATGTACAAGCTAGTTGAGGAGACTTCTATAATAAGTGCATATTTGTGACTAATCGTACCACAGTTACACATACCGTTATGTCTAACATGATTATTATCTACATTTAGCACAAGTGAAAAGAAGCAAAATGGGACTGTCTGTTTTCCTGGGATGTCTCGTCTGTATTATTGGAATGGCGCATGCGTCGAGTAAGTAATACCCGCAAGTTTCATGACGAATATGTAATGTTCATTTAACACTTCATATTACGTTTCTTGTCATAGTATTTTAATTCATATTCTTCGCTTTGAATATTCGAAGGACAAAAATCATGGAAATTTAAAAATGAAAAAGAATACTTTTATTTAGACCATCATTCGTGCGACCACCGTTTGACCATTGGCTTACAAATCAGTTGTCTAACATCTTGCCCGTCGAGTGTCACATTTCCCCGCCAAAAAATGGTGTATCATTTTGTAATTTGTTATGTATTTTTTTTACAAGTTCTTTGTTAGTTATGAAAGAGACAATTATTGAAAATAAAATGAAAAAAAAACAACAAAAACAAATAAAACTATACAGTGTTGGCGGCCCGGGTCAAAAGTATTATATTAATTCGACAACAGACCCTATTTGCAAATGGCCGCCAAGAAGATTTCGTTGAGGGCGAGATTTTTTTAGCCCTCTATCTAATAGTGTTCCATTCTTAACCGTCATTGTGTTTGTGTCCACTGTTCTAAATCCGATGAGTATAATGGTCAGAAAAACACTGGGCGCAATGACAATAGGGAATGGAACACTGTGTGTGGTAAAAACAAGTCTCGCGGTTTCTCGCTTTCAACGAGATCGTGGCGACCATATTCAAAATCAATATAATACTGGTAGGTTCAGATGGATATAGTGGCTCCAAATATAAGCATATTCTTTAATCGCACGAAGGTAGACTCACAGTAATTCTTGTATATCGTGACGGCGACTATTTATGCAAATGAGGCAAAACAACTTGAAAGTACTAGTACGCGATTAGGTTTTCAACTTTTAACGTAGAGTTAAAAGCCACGAAACTGGTACAAAGGGTTATAAACTAATATGTATGTAGTAATTTTTATTTATTCCTCGTCTGATGAAGGCGG